TGTGTGTATATATATATATATATATATATATATATATTTGTTTTTTGTTTTTCTAATGCAGAGGCCTGTTTTTGTGCACATCACTTCAAAGCTAAAACTGGATTATTATTATTTTTTTTCTCTTTGGGGAGTGTTTTCCAGTTTTACCAGACTGTTCTGTGACCATTAAACCTGCTTTAATTTAATCCCTAAAGACTCACATTATCCAGTCTGAACCGTTTGCTCATTTAGTCTCTTCCTTAAATCATTTGGACTTTTTGTTAAGAGTTGAAACTTATTTAATTAGTACAAGATCTGAGAATACCTTTGACAAAATAATCAATATTGCCATTTGCAAACAAGGTTGTTTGTTTGTTTGTTTGTTTGTTTAAATCAATATCTGCTTTGTTTGCCTCTGTTTTTATGGTGGTATTGATGATGAAATGAGATTCCTGGGTTGGTTTATTCAGAGTAACGATGCAGCTATGTGCCACTAGATGGAACAATTTCCATGTTTTGTTTTTTCTTTTTTGGAAAGCGGACAAACATTTAATGCGGAGAGACATTCTGGCGTATTTCACTTGTCAATTTTAAACTAATGCTTACAGAAATTACTCCATAATTATAACTCTAAATATTTTAAACAGGAGTAGAATGATTAGATATAATTGTATTCATCCAGAAATGAAGAAATTATGGATGTTCTTCAAATGTTTTTTTTTTAAGTTTTTCCCAACTTTATTTATTGAACATTTTTTAAACCAATAACATACAGAGTACAAAGTATAAAGATGACACAATTAGTGGCACAACTGTATGCAAACAACCTAAAACCATGCCCAGCGACCACCACCCTCCCCTTTACAAACACACAAGCATTCACACACGTACACACTCACTCTTTAGGGAGAAATAAACGAAAATAAACAATAATTAAAAATAATAAAATAGAAAGTCAGAAGGAAAAAAAATAAATAAATAAATAAAATAAAAAATATATATATATACTTATACACATCAGAACACTATAAACACATAAACAACCAGATAAATAAATAAATAAAACGCCTTCTTTCCTACTCAACCCCCAGTTCTTGAGAGTTATAATTAAGAGATTCTGTGTGTCGTAGAAAAGGGTCCCAGGTGGAATTGAATGATTTCACAGAACCTTTAAGTGAAAATCTGAGTTTCTCAAACTTCAGGTTGTAGACTACCTCCCGGATCCAGTGGATATGTGAAGGAGGATGGGCGAGTTTCCAATTAAGCAAAATCAATTTACGGGCCAGAAGGGTTGTGAATGAAACGACTACTTTTAACACTTTGGGCAAGTGAGTAGTGGGAAGGACACCAAAAATGGCCGACTGGGGATTAGGAGCAATGGTGTAGCCATAGGCCAAATCCAAATGTTTTTGTTTTTTATTGAAGAAAACTCTTCTTGTTCTGGTCTCTTAGGAGCTAACGTGTTTTATCCTTCTCTGATCTGTTTCTAAAACCAGCCATTGATGAGTACAAGCCTCAGGATGCGACCACAAACCCGTCTCTCATCCTGGCCGCTGCCAAGATGCCCGCCTACCAGCACCTGGTGGACCAGGCCATCAAATACGGCATCGCCAAAGGAGGGTGAGGGTTTTATTTATTTATTTATTTATTTATTTAATCAGGACAGTGCTCATTGATAAACCATCTTGCACTTCAGTACAGATTGTAAATGAGCCAAAATACACAGGACTAACAATCACAGGTTCTCCACTTTAAGGCTTATCTTCATGTCTTCTGCTAAAGGTCTGGTATTTTTTTTTACAGAGTTTTGATTGAATTTGACTTGTTACAAAGTAGGGTTGTTAAAATTATCGATACTCAAAAAAGTATCGATACTAAAACGTTGTATCTGGATACGATACTCCTCCTTCTCTTTATTTATTTATCTACGTTGTTTATGATCATTAGCATGACGTTAGCCTTGAATTGCTAGCGGCGGCTAATGGCTAATAATAACACGCCAACATTAAGCAAGTCTGCAGGAAGCCAAGGACGGATATCCAACTCCCCCACATCCAAGTCGGCCATTTTGATTAGGTCACCAATAGGAAGATCCCAGGCAAGAAAATCCTAATTGCTTCATGGCAATATAGACATTAATTTAAAAAT